TGCTAAATATCTTGAGCAACGAAGACGGTGTTTAAAGCATCGAATTCCATTCGAATTCGTTGCATACACTTACGCGCAAATATCTTTGGGAAAGATATGAATCTAAATCTCCCTCATGAATGGATTAAACAGTAAAACCAAGTGCAGTTTTCAGCCTTGGTTGGCAACCATTCTAGGAGAAGGTCAACTCTGAATTCAAAAACCGTATATAAAGGATCGTGTGTTTTACAATGACACTGTGACCCTGACCCCAGTCTGCCTTCTTTCTTTCCTATTTGTTTTCGAACAAATCTCCTCGAAACAGACGCTTGTTGTTAATTTTTTTTTATCCAGTTCCATCTTTCTGCAGATTCACTATTTACCAAAACTAAATATATGTTCATTCTGGAGAGTGTTGTTGATCACGATACCGATTTTTGCAGTTAAGCTCTCTCTCTGTCTCTCCCCTCCATCTTTTGTTTCGTCCCACCCACTTGTATAAAATTCCTCTTCAGGCAGCTCTTTACTCTTAACAATGCATTGTCATTTCACTGTTTTTTTTTCTTTTCTCTTTAATCAAATGTATTTTTCGTGTTGTTACGAGCGAACGAAAAACAAGCACATTGTGTTTTGTTACGACTCAAAATAAAAAAAGCACCAATCAAATAAGGATGAGACATCCGGGTACCACTGTTTGTCGTCATATTTTTCTAATGTTTCTTGTTATTTTTGAGGCGCTTAAAAACTAAAGCAAGATAGAAATTTTTCAGACAAAATCAAAGAAAATTAAAACAAAATATGCTGATTACCGTATATTTTCGTGTATAAGGCGACCTTTAGATAAGACGAGGTAAAAAATATAGCAAATTTTCATGAATTTATCCTATACATATAGTATAAGACGACTGCTTATTGATTATATAAAGATGATATTGGAAATGTTGTCAACTGCTGTATCCTTAGAAATTCAGAATAAACGAAATAACAAAACCGCTTTTCCTACACACGTTTTCTTAAAAAAGAAACCATTGTTTTGTGTACGTTTTATCAACTGCTCTATTGAGAGTACTGATTCTTCTTCCTCTTCTTTTCTTATATCTAAGCAGTTACAAACAGCCTTGGTGTACTAATGGCCATTTACTTGTACTTCATCGACAATCACAAAATACTGCTAATAGCAGTACAATAATGTACGATGATAATGTAACTATCAACATTTTTTATTCAGTCTTTTATTCATTATTGAAAGTTTAGCGAAAGATAAAGATTGCTGTGAGCGCAATTATAACTTATTGTTTACATTTTCTCACCTGTGCTTGCATAAATACAAGTTGATTTCATTGATATGGAATTATTCTTTGAATAGGAAAATTATTATGAAGTTATGCCAGTAATATATAAGGTAGAAATGGTTTTAATATTTTTGTTATCAGCTTATTTGATAATGTGAATATTTTCATGTTCATTATTGGTTATCACACTGACAACCTATTGACAAAGATCACTCACAATTTAGGGTTTCTTTTTTAGAATTGTAGTATAAGACGATCCACAATTTTTAAGGGTGATTTTCGGGATTTAAAGGTCGTCTTATACGCTGAAATATACGGCAAATAAAACAAGTGTTCAGGAATCGGAGAGCCGGGTTCAAATTTAATTCGAATCCATTATATTCACTTATGCGCTAATAACCTTTGGAAAGGTATGAATCCTTTTCTTTTGCCCCCAGCTATGGGTAAATAGCAGGACAGATTGGGTTTTATAGCCTTGAATGGCAAACTGATCGACCGCCGAAAGAAATGGCAACATACTGCGGGAAAAATCTGCCACGTCAATCATGTATCGAAAGATACATGATCACCTAAGCGTGTATCATGCATGGCACATAACTGACTGATTGATTATTTGATGATAGTGGTCGACTGTATTTATTATTTTATCTCCATCAACACTGCATTTGTTATCTGATAAATATAGTAAGGAAATTTCCAGAATTGATCAGAGTTATATATGCAGTGTACCATATCAAACAGCTGGTGTAATAATTTTAAAATATGTACCTATTTAAAAAAAAAAAATTGTGATAAATTTACAGGGTGTTTCAAAAAGAATACGCCAAAATCATTACGCTGTTTTTTCAGGTCTATAGCATTGTAGTGGACTGAATCAGTGGTTATTTGATAGAGTAGTTATCAAAGTTTGATTGGGTGTCAGTTTCACCGCTGTTGTTAGTATAACTTCCGGTGCAGTTGAATTGTGGGAAGACAAACCTATTTCGAAATGCTCCAATGCTATTCGCTTTACTGCAAGCAGATTCGAATGACTTCATTTTTCAGCAAGATGGAGCACCACCCCATTGGCATCTCGGGGTTAGAGCTTATCTGAATGAAAACGTGCCTCAGCGATGGATTAAGAGGAGAGGTGCTAAAGACCTTGCTCTTTGTGCTTGGTCTGCCAGATCCCCGGACCTCACTGTGTGTGACTTTTTCTTGTGGGGGTATGTTAAAGACCAAGTTTATGTTCCAGCACTTCCAGCAAGTATCGATGACTTGAAAAATCAAATCAACACGGTGGACCGTGACATGCTGAGGCGCGTTTGGGAGGAATTCTCATATCGGCTTCATGTTGTCCGCGCTGCCGGTGGTGGCCACATTGAGCACTTATAAAACATGAAATGAAACTTGAATGTATATACACACACATGTGTTCATGCTAGAGGTTTGTAATTTTTTTCGTTTTTGACACATCACGTGATGATTTTGGCGTATTCTTTTTGAAACACACTGTATATTGCATTATATTCAAATCAATGTTTTGTTCTTGATGGAAACAAAAAAAAAAAAAAAAAAAACACATACTTAGAACCAGAAAAAGACAGTTGATATTTCTGGGACACATAATGAGAAAAGAATATTTGAAAATTTTATTACTCACGGGGATATATTAAAAAACAAAGAAGCAGGGGGAAATAATAAATAGCGGACCTAAAGAAAAAATAGAGAGCAGAATAAGGGGAGGTGGGCAATGTAAAAAGGCAAACATTGCTAAACACTGCAAAGGATAGGTAGTTGCGGAGGGTCATGATCGCTCCCGTCCTGAAGTGACACGGTAGATAAGGAAGAAAATTGTTCGAAAATAATTGTTTAGGTTTGAAATACGTATGTGGTCTTGCTTTGAGAGATTCAATGCTAAAATACCTGCAACTAATGACGCCCTTGAAGGATGGCATTGGGTTTTTTTGCAGCAAGTGTCATCCCATCATCCCACAATATGGAAATTCTTAGACGCACTTAAAGGAGAACTTTCAAGAGAACTTTTATATTGCAAAAGTAAGAGCAGGTTGCCAAAATATCAAGAGCGCCAAGAAATACCGCGGCGGAAATGAAAAACTTAAAAAGTGGCAACCTTTAACTAGTACTCTTCAGTAGTTGACTATTTGCCTGCAGTATCATATAACGTAAGGATTTTTTTCTTACTAAATTGTGTTACTAACGTTATTTGTATTTTGAATAATTATCATTTAGTAAAATTGTCCTTTCATTTAATTTTCATTCAAACAATTTCCAATTAGAATAAATGTTTTTCGAATAAATGTTTTCGAAGGATTATATTCGGACAATGTTAAGATAATCATTATTGGTCCTAATCTGGTGGCTCGGCTTCAGTCACCTACCCACCGCCATAAGCTTGCCTCTCTGTGTCTTTTTTATAAATACTTTCATGGTAATTGTTCGGATGAGCTCTTTGCTATGGTACCTAGACTTTTAGAATTTAAGCGCAGTACTAGTCTGGCGTCAAGATCTCGTCAGTTTACAGTTGAGCTAGCTAGATTTTGCCGTAAGTTATATGCTAAAAGTATCTTTTCTCGTACTTCTCGCTTGTGGAACTTCCTTCTGGCTACACGCTTTCCAACCAACTTCAATCTGCAAAATTTAAATGCAATGTCAATGGCTATATACTGACCTCCTGATTATTTTCCTTTTTTCGGTCATTATTAATGTTCCTGTTACTATTTCTTCTACGCCCTGTAACCCCTTGTGTTTTAGTGGCTTTACTGCCTTGCATGGAGTAATAGCGATTAAATATAATATATATATATATATATATGTGTGTGTGTGTGTGTGTGTGTGTGTGTGTGTGTATCAAGCCTCATTCAACATAACCATCTTACCATTAACCCTTTACCTTGAGTTGCCCTCGAGCCTTTTATTAGGTGCACGTTAGTATAAACATGCACTTGTTAAGAAATTACGGTATTTGAAAGATTAGAAAAGTTTTGCTTTCTTTTCGATTTATTTTTAAAACGGAAACTAAAATCGTTTATCTTGCTACAAGATTTTTTTCATTATAAATATGTTCTTCATTATAATATTTTTTCATTATAAATAAGGTAAACAATTAAAAAAAATGCTTATTGAGGAGACGTATCGAAATTTATTTTAGGTAATAATATACTCGTGTTGTTTCCTGCGCAAATTCAATGATTTTCAATATGATAAAACATTTTCTAATCATTTCAATACGATCAAGCCCCTAAGACACAAACGGTTACTGAGTGTGAAAGGATATTAGAAAAAAAAAACATTTTTAAGGTGGGAAAGAAGAGGATATAAGATGATAGTTGGCATTGTATTTAAATTGTTGGTTGAAAAGCAAGGTAACTGGATGAGAGTTCCACAAGCGAGAAATCCGAAAGGAGAAACTGTTAGCATAGAACTTACAGTTACAAGTAGGAATTTCAAGTATAAAATGAGACCTAACTGCCAATCTAGTCCAGCGCTTAAATTCATAAAGTCGAGGTACCAAAGAGGAAAGCTCAAAAGAAAAATTACCATGAGACTATTTATAGAAAAGATACAGGAAGCTAAAATATGGCACAGATAAACCAGGAAAAAAATTAACGGATAATACAAACAGGGTTTTTATATAACAAATTAATATATTTCACTGAAACTTTATACACAGTTAAGCACACATATAAGGTACAAAAATCATGCAAAATATTCATTATCGCTGCTTACTGCTTTCTCCAGGCGCATCCGGAAGTTGGACCAGGCCATGGCGACGGCGTCTCTGTCCATGTTGGCAAGGAGTCCCTGATGGCTGCATTCTTGGTGTTGTAAGGCCTACTGATCACCTCCCTTTCAAAGACGCCTAACACAGAACAGTCGATTGCTGTCTGGAGATGAGTGGCGAGGGCATAAGTCTGGCGACCATTACGCGTCTTGAACAAATAATATTTATAATTCAATTCCTGCTTGACAATATGCCCGACTGTTTGCCTACTAAGGTCCATTTCCTTGGCGATTCTCCTCAATCTTTTGTTCCCCTTGACAACCTTGGCAACGTCGACGACGAACACAGGGGTTCGGGTAGCGATAGAGCTTTTCTTATGAGTCTTACGTTCTGGCCTGAAATTGTCCTTGTCGTCTGAGGCCCTATATGCTATTGGCAAAATCGTAGATCATGGTTTTATGGTATTTAATCCATTGAATGATTTCCTTCGCCGCGCGAATGCTCTCCACAACAGTAGTTAGACAATCGTATTCTGAAGACATGTCGTTTACAAAATACCTCGGTTATCAATCCCCACACAGCTACTGAGATGTAGTGCTTTCTAATGGCGATCTCGAAACCTCGCTACGCTTTGACGCCACGGCGCTGTTGCCACGTAAACATTCCGTAGTTATCTGAACGTTAAGGCGATGCGAAAGTGACTAAAGCCGAAATGCCAGTCCAAGGCCGAAAATATTAGAGACTCTTCTTTGAATTTTGTCAAGAATATCTAAATACATAGCAGAAGCACGAAACCAGCAATATTCAATGTATGGATATTGATTTTCTAAGCTTGATTTGATGTGGCACAAGGCCAAAACTATGAGCACCCATACTCACTACTCAGTCGTAATTGTTGGTGTCGGTGGCTCAGATGGCTGTGAAGTCCCAGCCTAGAGTCGTGAGCAGGTGTCACAGAGGAGTGCAGATAGTGGACGCGGCTGGGCGGATGGTCCTACGCTAGGAAGGTCGAATTGCAGCAACAGTTTTCCCAGGTCTCAGGGTCGATGTTCACCTCTTTCAGGGACATTCATTAACACACAAAGAAAAAAAATCACTTAAATTAGACGAAACGTAAACCTAGCTTTGAATGGATAAAGTATTTTAACCTTATTCTTATAAAAGACTGGATACATAAGATGGTCTCTTTTTGAAGATCAGAATTTTCTATTCTTATATAGGCGTGTTAACCTGATAAATCTCAGCTCTGAACCGGAGCATAACACTCTTAAATTATCAAGCTTCGGCTCGAATGCTAATCTACACTTAGCTTTATTATTATTTACGGCACGTCTGAAATAATTATATTCTCTAGTACAGGTTTTTATCTCATATCTTAGATCAGCAGGAACAATACGAAATCTCAGACTGAGCTGTACGAATTATTCAGCAGGTAATTATAAAGGTTGACTACGTGACTATTTCGACATTGAAGTTAGGTACATCATGATTAATAAAGATCAAGTACAATGATTAATAAGATTTTGTAGGAATAGATTCTTTTTTTTTTTCAGGAAGTTAAATAACAACCTCGCCCCCAACAAGAATATACAATTTTTAAAAAGCCTGTGATTGTTTGTCTTTTTTATTAAAACATCTTTTATTATTTAATTTATGCAGAAAACATATTTCGCAAGAAGGGGGATGATTTCATGTTTAGATTTTAAAATTAAAAAATTACAATGCTGAAAACATATTTCGCAAGAAGGGGAATGATTTTATGTTTAGATTTTAAAATTAAAAAAGAAAAAATTACAATGCTGAAAACATATTTCGCAAGAAGGGGAATGATTTTATGTTTAGATTTTAAAATTAAAAAAGAAAAAATTATAATGCTGAAAACATATTTCGCAAGAAGGGGAGTGATTTTATGTTTAGATTTTAAAATTAAAAAAGAAAAAATTACAATGCTGAAAACATATTTCGCAAGAAGGGGAATGATTTTATGTTTAGATTTTAAAATTAAAAAAGAAAAAATTACAATCTTTCAAGTACAATAATTTGTAAAACAGAGATTTTTTATAATAATGTTCATCTAATATAAGCCTCGAGAGCCAGTCAAGGTAGAGTGTTGCAGTTAAGACTTTTAATGAGGAATGAGGTGTGATGGGAGAAAAAGAAGCGATGCTAGAAAGTGAAGATTAGAAGGATGAGGAGGATAGATAACAATGGATTCAAATATCCATAAATAAAGAGTTAGCTAAAGAAGAGGTGGAAAAATTGTTTTGGCGTACTATATCTGGAGTGAGAAAAGTAGATATTATTCTCTCCGGAATGAGTTCTTGATAAATGACACGTCATCTTGCTAGAGAGTGAGGAAGTTGAACGATACGACAGCTATCAGCTCGATACCTAGTTTGAGTAGTCATTTCACGGTTCCAGTAACCCATTATGGTCGAAGGGTCGGCGCATTTACTGTAGTTGCCGCAGTTGTATGCCTTGGGAAAAATAGCCTCAGAGAAACCATCCGTCTTCAGTGAGGTTTTGGATTGAGAGTTTTGCTTCTCCTAGACTGGTTAGCACCTCAATACAAGAGAGGCCAGTTGACCCTGTTGTTCAGTCTATAGCTGTCGGGTGGTGGGGAGAAGTGATGAATTTATACATGTCCTCCAGGCTATTTCTGCAATGTAGTCTCAGATTTCTCTTCTTCATGTGCTAACCGTTGTCCTACCCATTTATATAAAATTATGAAGGTTACATTTAAAATGATGGAGTAAAACAGTATTCAATATCCTATACAAAAAGCAAACGGATCCTAACGTTTTGCGGAATAGACTTGTTTTTCTGTACCGGAATCCTCTTGTTGCTTCCTATGAGTAATCATGAGCGTCGAACATTTATTTGTACCTATTGTTTCATAGAAAGATTCGTTTGTTGTCAGAATGAAGGTATTTTTCATCACTCTTTCTGACAGCTTTCTTTTCAGTTTGTCCAAACTATTAGGCTCAAGAGAATGGACATAAATTTTCAATCAGTTTCAGTTCAGGGGACTGACTGGGCCATTTTAATAGGTTGATTTTCTAATTTTCAACCCACTATTTGAACGAGTTGGCGGTATATTTAGGATTGTTGTCCTTCTAAAACAAGCTAGGCCACTTCAAACTTAAAGCCTTCGCTGAAGTAAGGAGGTTCTTGTTGAGCGCCTCTTCAAATCGCACCATTCATTTCACCTTCCATTGCATGAAAACCTCCTAAACCATGTGATGAAAAACAATATTATATTGTCTCTGTGTTTCACTATTGTGATAGTGTTCATCGTGCGCGATTTCTTCTCTTTTTCGAAATCAGATGAAGTGAATTGAGGTCAAATGGCAAACCTGAAGAATGCAATTGCTAGAAATATTTTCATGGTAATTGTTCTGACGAGCTTTCCAACTTGGTGCCTCATCTGCACGAATTTAAGCACGCTACAAGATTACCAACTAGGTCTCACCGTTTTAGTGTTGAACTAGTAAGTTGAAGCCGCAAGTTTTATGCTAATTGCTTTTTTTTTCCTCGCTTGTTGTATTCCCATCCGCTTTCTTGCTTCTCTTCCAAGTACAAACTTCAAAAATTTAAATTCAACGCCAATCACCATCGTCTGTCTTTTCTTATATTCCTCTTTCTCTTCAAGACTCCTCACTAAAGTCTTCTCTTTCGTTTTCACTCCTGGTATTCCCTTGTGTCTTAGTAGCATTATCGCCTTGTTTAGAGTGAAATGATAAAAAAACAAAGCAACAAAAATGCTTATTATTAAAAATTCAATCTGTTCAAGCATGCGTGTTAGAAACGGTGGGACAATTACACTGAAAAAAGGAATTCGCATGCAGTGTTGCCACAAGTTAAATTGTAAATGACACACACATGCATATATATATATATATATATATATATATATATATATATATATTGTATAATAAAACAAATAAGGACGCTATAAGTGGAGTGCATAAAGTTTCAAGTGAACCCTCAGTTTGAATTATGGCCATCTGAGAATCTTCAGGTGGTTCAAGAATATAGAATTGAGGCTCTTGTTCTTTGAACCGCTTAAAGTTTTGCGATTTTCTCAAGATAATCTGGGCGTTGAGCACTTTCATTTGCTGAATAGGTAGGTTTTATTTGTATTTCTCTCACTGATGGTGCTCCTATATTGGGCAAAATCAAAATCAAAATAACGCGCATGCACAAAATTAAAAGTATAAATTACCCATCACATATATATATATATATATATATATATATATATATATATATATATATATATATATATATTTAAACAAAAAGGACGTCATGTTATACCTTAGATACCTTTCGACCAACAGTTTTTCAAAGGTATACGTTGGCAAATTGAAAACAATCAAAGACTCACTCAATATAACGAATGAGGAGGGAAAGTTGGAACGCCATTAAAAAAGAGATAAATTGTAATTACAAATAAAATTCAAAAGGGCGTTAAAATTTTAATTATTTGTAATTACTTTTTATAGCACAACTTAAAACTATATATACACAGATATGACAGAATTGAATAGACGCTTACAGAAACTGTTTATTTTATTAAACAAGTAATTTATACAAATGAAGTAATTATAAATGGTCATAAATTTAATAATTAATACTTGGTTGACATCCCTTTTGCTTTTTTTAATGCAAGGACCCTTCTAAGCATACTAGCGATGAGTTCACGAATATCATCTTGAGGGATTTCTTGCCATGTTTGACGCAATAATCCTAAAAGTTCGGGCTTAGAAGATAGCTTCCTGTTCTTTTTGTGGAGTTTTCGATCTAATATGCCCAAAAAGTGTTCAAAAGGGTTAATATCCGGGGACTGACTAGGCCATGGAAGTTTATTGATCCCATTTTGTCTCAACCAATGTTGCGTTGCTTGAGCCGTGTGACATGGAGCTCCATCTTCCATAAATAGGGAGTCAACTTTGCTCATTCTACTACTTGAGAATATTGGAAGGAGCCCTTTCTTTAATATAGAAACATATTTGGTTGAATTAATGTTTCCTTCACACTCCACAAGCTCTGAGCGACCATCATTCCAAATTGCACCCCATACCATTACTGAAAGGCCCCCATGTTTCACCGTTGGCTGCAGTCTTTTTAAATCAAACTCTTGACTACAGAGTCTTCATACCCATACTCTTCCACTGTCGGAAAATAATGCGAATCTTGACTCATCAGAGAAAATGACAGTGGTCCAAAAGGTCACAGGTCTCTCCATCATCTCAAGAGCCCAATCCTTTCTGCGTTTGA